GTCGTACTTCAAAAATCAAATAGTCAAAATAGTTCTATTTTGAAATGATTATGGTTGTTTTAACGATTTATTTTGAAATACTGTGTTTTCTCTATGTTTTCAAAAGTTTCTCTCGTAATGCAGTGGTGTTCATGAAGTCTTCTAACATTTGAATATTTATTTCCTTTTCTTAAAGAGGTTGAGTTAAGAAAAGATTACTGTTGTGAGGTTTGTTCCCGTTGAACTGGCTTCAAGCAACTTTGATATATCAGCGAACTCAAAATCTGGCTTTTTCCTCTGCACATCAAATGGGTCTTGATTTCTTGTAAACTTCATGTAATCTGTATTTGTCAAAACAGACATTTGAGATCTATTTATCTGGTCCATTTCTCTAGCTAATTCTTTTTTTCCAGTCTAAAAATTTATAAATTTTTGAACAGTGATGAGGACAAAGTTAATTAATAACCGGATCCTCTGCACCGAAGATTTTTGTGACTTCTATTAGTTTTACCTCTCTTAACTTAGTCGCTTCGTTTCTCGCTGCTGCTAAAACGATTTCTTTAGGCGGATCCCTGTTGACTTGCGCAGTTCCTTGACGGTTTTGTAAAAGTTTGTGTATCGACGGCAGCGCAACGCTCGGGGTTTTTAAAGGGTCAATATCAGAGTCAAAGTTTGAGTTGCCATTCACAGCAGTGAGCGGAATCAACAGACCCAAGGGTTCTCCAGACCTTGTTGTAGCCAACTGAGGTTTTTGTGGAGAAACAAGAACTATTGGGAGGACTGCAGTAGGTTTAGCCAGTAATGTTTCTTGTGGTAGCTCATCTGTCTTAAAAATTTTAGGGTACCTGTCTATAACACTTTTCAAACGGAAGACCAGGTTAGTGATAGACCTTTGTGTCACTGTTTTTGTACATATAAAAAATAATTACGGGAGGAATGAATGATACTGACTACTCACCATGCTTTTTGGAGACAACTGAGAAGAATCACTTTCGTAATTTTTAGGACTGAAATCAGTCTCATTTCCTTTGTGACCACGCTCGTTATTTACAAGGCTAAAATTCGCAGCACTTTTCTCGCTGGTCTGAAGAAATGGACTTTCAAATACTGTTTTTGGTAACGGTTCACTTGTTGTCACTTCGACGACGCCGGTTGCGTTCTTCCCTAAACCTGTAGTTAGCGACATTATTTAATAAATCTAACGGTGAAGTCGTTTCCTCTGTTTATCTGTAAAAACATATGTCGTATGAATAATGCCCATTAAGACAGTAGTCAGTTCTTTATTGAAATTTTGCGAAAGCTCTTTAGCACAAAATTTTTTATGCTGACTAAAAGTAGGGTTATTACTAATAAAAAACTGTCTTTCGACAGCGCCATCCTGAAGGTAGTAACCGGCAACTCAAAAGAATTTGTTAACCGACCTGGTTCTACTCTTGCTCAATAGAGTATGTCAATTATTTACATGGAAAATTTTGGTTTCAGATACTCGTTTCCACAAAAAATCCACCAAAAGCGTTGCTTCTATGGCCATACTCATTTTTGAAAGAAGGTCAGTGAAACTAAGAATTTGAAACCAGTACCTGTGTTTTCTTTGCAGTAATTTTCATCGAAGTAAAGGTTGCATAACTGCCACTCAAAGCTGTCTCCAGTGGCTATACCGGAGCAGATACTAAGACGCACCACAACTAAATAGAACGCTGTTGCCATTGATGAGTGACGCATTTGCGGCGTCTGTCCAACGCTTTCTTTCACGAAAACAATGTTGTTTAACACTCATTACTTTTGGAACAAATAATTGGTAAGCTTTTGGAAACAAAGTGTGACATCAGCGGCAAAATCAGTTGATAGGTTAACCAGTCAGGATGAAAAAATGATTAATTGGGAATGAAAGACCTGTCTGCAGTAAAGCTTGGTGACATACTTGAGAAAAGCACAATTGCAGCTCATGTAAAGGATTTTTTAGATTTGTAACTTGAACAAGGTTATTAACGCCACTTTTTCTTAAAAACAGAAAAAAGCCTTGCTACTATAATTTTGTTAAAGTAGAGAAAGTCATGATAATATAACGTAATAGAAAAAGAGCGACAGATAATGCAACCAGTATAAAAAACTGGAAAGAAGAACAAATGAGACGTTGATGTAAACCAGTTCCTAATATACCCTACTGCACAGCATCATGATAACTAACTAGCCAGTCTTTTCTCTTTTCGTTCTTGAGAATCAACAGTAGGAAAAAGGCGCATGAAGTTCTACCTGCTTTCTAAACAATTACGTAGACTGATGCTATAGATCAAAAATCATATTTTACTGATCATAAGCCTGAGCACTTTTAAGGTTTTTTGGTTTTCTGGACTTTCAAAGCCATCTAGTATTTCAAGGCATAAAAACTGAATTTTTAGCCAACATCCTTTAGAAGACTTGAAACTTTAATGCTAAAACCTGCAACCAGTAATAAACTTTAACGAGCCTGTGACCATACTGCGCACAGTGCTCCAGCAATTAACAACTGTTTGCCGTCAGATAGTAACGAATAAAGAGGTATCAGCTGAAATCTCAAAAACCTCTGAATTTTCTTCTTCTCCGAATAAGTTTGATTGTGCCTAATGAAAATTCTAGCATCGCCGTAAAGTTACCCACAAAGTGCCTCAATAAAATATTTCAATGCTTTTGGCTAAGTAGAAATCTTTTATTTGCCTGAAATCCTTAAAGTCAATAAAAAGTAAAAAAAAAAAATTTACCATTTCAAATCTCAATTAATTGCAATACATAGCATTCATAGAAATCAAGTTTTTCAATAAGCGACTAACACGAACAACAGCGAAAAATCGTTTCAGACTTAACAAAACCTTTCTTGTGCTTCCTTTCAAATTTGAATCAACAGTGACTCTTCCTTCATCAAATGTTTACTGTAGTTTGAAAATAGACAGTAACTTACAAAACAAAAAGCTGAATTTTCAAAAATGATTGACCGCTAAACGTCAAAAATAAAAAAATAAAAACATTTTTAAACGCTTAAAAAGGAAAATATAAATGGAAACTGATCTTGTATTTAGTTTTTAAAATGACGGTCTTGAATTTGCAGAAAAAAAGTTCAGAACCGATACTTTGCAACTTAAATTTGGAACCCATCGTCACTCTGATCCCAACCTCTATGAAGTTTATAAGAAATACAATAAAATGATAATAGCAAGTTTACGGCTAAGTTAAATAACTAAAAGTCGGCGTCTAACTTATTAGAAAACCCCACATAATTTAGCTGGTCAGGCAAGATGAAAACATTCTACTCGACATAACAACATAGCATCAAACATAGATACCAAACCCAACTGCAACTCTAAAATATATCAGTAAAAGAAAAACATGCATTTCTCCAAGAAACAACTCAGAACATATAAAATGCGACAAAAATCTCAACTAATCTGCTGACATATGCAGTGACCCGCAGAAACTTTTTTTGCTGTATTGGGTAGCGATTTGACGCTTATAATTTGTCCTACTTTGGAACTACGACTTGCAGATTCAGCTCCTTTGATATCTTGTTGATTGGCCTAACAAAGCAATTTCTGTCAGCAAGTCACTGCAAAATTTTTTGTGTTGCCATAGTACACAAACAAAAAAAAACCATTTAAGTAACATATAGAACATAGGAAGATACAAAGTTATATATAAATAAGCAAGCCTGTACTTCCCGGCAATCTTTTTTGCTTGAACATTTTAACTACATTGTCAGGCTCGGAGGAAAATTGGTAATTACTTCAGAAACGCGAAGACTTTTTCCATACTTGGCGAAATAATTAAAAAATAAAAGAACAATTGACGCCCTGTCTAACCACAATGAACTTAGCAGTATTAACGCTACTACTGTCCACCAAAATCTCTCAAATCTTTGAAACTTCTTCTCAGTCATTCACTTGAAAGATTTTGATTATTAATTTTGGTATCTTTCGCAGTTTTTACAAGCTCACAAACAAATACGCCAACACCGAAGAATGTAAAGTTCTGCGTCTTCTTCTGTAGCAACTGCTGAAGAAAGTTATACTTGATGGTATCGACTAAACTAACTTTATCTCAAGAATTCGTAGACAGCAGATGAGCTGCAATATGCTGGAAGCTCAGAAAAAAAATCCCACGCTTGGAGCTACAACTTGATTGCGCATAATTCGTTTAGCCGTCGCCTTACTTTGTTTCGATAGAAATTCTTATTTCTGAAAGCAAATATAACTCCTGTTGTTTTTTAAAGTTCAAAACACTCTGATAAAAACGGACCTCTGAGTGGTTACTGATACGAGTCAAAAGAAATGATTGAAGTTTAGGTTGAGCAAGTTGTGGTTTTCCAGATCTTTTCAGTGTCATGTACTGTCGTTAGAGACCGTGTTCGCTAGTTAAGTGGCTGTTATCCAAAACATCATTTTTAAAATGGTGCTGGTGGTATTTATGCACTATGTCTACAGACGCTTTTGAGGAAATAAAATTACATTTTACCGCAAAAATCGCATGGTAAATCCGAAATAAATATTTGTTAAACACCAGCTTTCGTATTTGCTCAAACAGGAAGGAAAGTTGATGCAAACTGTCTTTGGAATAAATAAACATCTTATTAGCTTCTGTAGGTAGACTTCAGAGTTCCGCTGATAAGATTGATGAACGTACTTCTCTAATAAGTCTTTTGCTTGGGTTCTGTTGCAAATTACTTGATTTCAGTCATGATTTTCTTGAAAAAACAGACTTTATTTAGTAATGTGATGTGACCGTCAACGCAACTTTTTTAACTAGTTGTGGTTTCTCAGATTATATATTGGATGTTGCCGGATTACTCCAAAAATGTCTATCCAAATTTCCGATATTGTGAAAAAGTTTACTGTCCACAGAGAACACATAAATATAGATAAAAATTTTTAGATTTTACACTTTTAGACCAAATTGCTAATGCATCCATCAATTAGCCCAGAACGAAATATGCTGCTATATGTTGCAGATCTTACGGTCTTAAAAACTTTAACACAAAAAAGCTTGCATATTAATTTAGCATACATATGATACAGATACATCAGACAGCTTCTCACTGTTTGCACATGACGAATAAAGTAAACCACCTTAAATCTCTCTCCGAGAAGCAGACAGTTTGACCGCCAATTCATTAAAATACGATTGACAAACAATTATACTACCATGGAAGTTCAATAAACCCGTATACAATGGACAATACATTAATATATACGCTTTCTAAAATTATTTTCAAAACTCAAACGAAAAGTTTAGAATCAAATCCAACGAATAAAAGAGCTAATCAGAGACGGCATATATTTGAAAATTTTTTAAAATTATTAACAATTAATTTTAAAAAACCACCAGACATTTCCTGTAGATTATCAATGCTAAAAATCGAATACCTCTTACTTTCAGTTTGGCTGTTCCATGTGGCGGATTGATCACACCAGATGGTAAAAGACTATAAAAACTAACGAAAGACTAAATGAATGAGACTGAAAAGCAGAACTCTGACAATGATATTAAGACAAAAAAATAAATAACCCGTAAATCATAACACAAACAACTACCATTCATTCATTTTTTTACAATTACCAAGCACAGTCAAATGATAGAACAAGCCTTGAAAGATGACCATTTGCAGGTTTTTAAGCCTTCTCGAAATACCTATGGTCCACTTGACTAAAATGAAATTTGCCATAACAAGCTCAGAATCTCTGAATGATAACAGATCCATTTTGAGATAGAGATCCTCGATCCCGCTCTGTCATACCGAGTGGGAATTTCTTCCTTCGAACTGGTGCTGTTCGTCGTGTTTCCCTACATTTTTCCGGTGCGAATTTTTTAGTATCCACGTTGTTCAATGAGTAGGCTCTAACATCAAGATCTTTTACAATCGATTTCTCAACCGGCTCCTTTTCATTTTCGCGTTCTTCAGCTTCGTACTTCTCGGCGTTTCGCCATCTTTCGTAAACTGAAGCTTTAATAGTGGCGTCCGACTCTGTAAAAGGTAAAGAAGTTAAGATTTTTTCACGCAATACTAAACGGTATTCTAAAGGGTAATCAAAAAGGAGAATTGTGGACGAAAAAAAAGTCAAAGTTAACGTATACAAACTGCTCACCATACTGGCCAAGAGGAGGTGGACTTATGAGGGGATTCGGTGGAGTACTCGGAGGTGAAGTTCGAGCCGTTAATCCCGTGCTGTCTGTTGAGCGTTGGTTGTCACTGTTCGAACTGTCGCTCGGCTTCAGAATATCCATAAACTTCTGACGACTACTGATGTAACTTTTACTGTTATATGCTGAACTGCGATCAGCGCAACAAAGTCCGGTTCGCAGAAAGCGAATAACGGTTGCACGGACCTTCTCGTTCAGGAACACGTGGAGTACAAAAATAAAGATCCCCTAAAATGAAGTTAAGATAGGTTTCAAAATGAAAGAAAATGAGATTTAGAAAAAGTTGCCAATTGAGAGAAAAAAATTAAAAAGTTTAATCCTC